GCTTGCGGCGTCAACAGGCGACCCGAATGCTGCCCCGAAGCCCTCCGTGGACCAGCCACAGAGCTTGAAGCTCCGTCAGACCGAGAAGCAGAATCTCACCTCTTACTATAACAGTGCCAAGCGTGCCTTGAGACGCCTCAATGGACGTGACATTACCCTGTCAAACCATACTACTTTTTCAAAAGAAGACTTTGAAATTCTGACGCGGGTCTGCGAGGCCTTTGTCGAAGGCCTCTACGATCAGACACTCAAGGCAAGGCTCCAGGGCTACCAATCGCTCCTTTTCCGTCGCTACAATGACGATGAGTACTCACACTCGCTGCTGGGTGTCTTCACGCAAGTGGAAGGCGAAATGCTTGCCATAGGTTGGGAGCATCGTACGACACAGGAGAAGTCTGCCGATGCCGAAAAGGCTGCGGAAGTGTGTGTACTCGGTTGGAAGAAGTTGCAGAATCAGCCGGTGGCTGGAGGTGACCCCCTCCAGCATGCCAAGCATCTACAGCTGTATCTGCATAGACTGAAGAAGCTCAACTCGATTCAGCTCGTCACACTGCAGCAGACCCAATTCGAGTCAGCGAGTGATTACTACGAGCGCGTTACGAAACTCGTCGTAAATTTACGCCCTGCAGCCTTGCTTGCCGAGAAGGGCGAAGATTTGTTCCAAGAGCTCGTCATCAAGCACTACGTTGAAGGCATTTGGTCTTTTGAGGTACAAAAGCAAGTTGGCGATTTTGTTGCTGCTATATCAGGCCCCATCAGCCTTGGAACCGTGGCACGTCGCCACAAAAGTCTGCAACTGGCGTTTGAGTTTGAACGAGCCCTTGAGCATCACGCATACGACAGCCATCTTGAGCCTGTGATCAAGCAATACGTTGCACTACTCCGCGGCGACACGGACCAGCCAGGCGACGCGAGCACGCTTGCCCTAGCGGCACCCGAGTCTCAGCAGGTCCTCCAGGTCATCCTCTCGCTATCCGACCCTTCGAAACTGACAGCCAACCAACCACGCGATCGGTACCGCGATAACCTCGAGTTCCCCAAGTCGGGCGTCGGCGTCCAGTGCGATATCAACTTTGCCGCCCATCTTGCGCTCCAGAACACCCTCCTGCTCCGCTGCTACTCTCACACGGACCCGCGCGTGCGCACGCTCGTGCTCTTCGTCAAGCACTGGGCCAAGTCTCGCGCCATCAACACCCCCTACCGCGGCACCCTCAGCAGCTACGGGTACGTGCTCATGATGCTGCACTACCTCGTCAATGTCGTCGAGCCCTTTGTCTGCCCAAACCTGCAGCACCTCGGTCCGCCGCCACCGCCGCAGGATCCATCCACTTACCCGGACGCCGACGGCCTCATCTGCCGTGGCCGCTTCGTGGGCTTCTGGCGCGACGAGGCCGAAATCCAGCGCCTCGCGCGCGCACGCCAGCTCAACGGCAACGACCACTCAGTCGGCCGCCTGCTGCGCGGCTTCTTCGAGTACTACGCCCACACGGGCACCCTGTCGACCAACGCCAAGGCACGCGGCTTCGACTGGGGTCGCGATGTTCTGAGCCTGCGCACCCCGCGCGGCCTGCTCAGCAAACAGACCAAGGGATGGACGGGCGCCAAGACGGTCCTCGAGAACGTGCCGTCCCCAGCCGGCGCGCCCGCTGCCGCTGCCGCCAACGCCGCCGAGGCCAAGCCCGTCGAGGTCAAGGAGGTCCGGCACCGCTACCTGTTTGCCATTGAGGACCCCTTTGAGCTGGACCACAACGTCGCGCGGACGGTCACGCATAATGGAATCGTCGCGATCCGGGACGAATTCCGGCGCGCGTGGCGGCTCATTCGCGCTGCCGGCAAGGGAAACGTCGGTGGTGGTGGGGGCGGTGCTGCTGCTGCTGGGGACGCGGAGAGCGAGGAGCTCCTTCAGGATGTTAAGACTGTTCGCAAGGAGACCGACGCCGGCGAGTTCCGCAGGTTGCTGGCCGAGATACACGGCGTGGAGAGGGCGGAGCTGGAGACGTTGGCCGCGGCCATCTCATCGTGATCAAGATCGTTGTGGCATGTAGGCCGTGTGGGTTTTCCAGGTTGAATTTGTCACATGAGGGACGGCGGGCATGTTGTGTTGGAAGTCAACGATTGTATTATGGCTTTGGGTGATAACTTTGAAGATAAGTATCCTGGCTAAACTCAATGAAGGCATGTTCCGCTCGAAGAGCTCATCATGCAGCTCATTGGTAGAGTGAAGTCAAAACGGTCAAGAACACAACAAGTCACGTCACACAAATAAGCAGAAAATGTCCGAACTACTCTCGCCCCCCTGCCCATCGACCAAACAGCGTAATAAAGCCGATGTGCAAGAAGGGGGGCCCTCGAGGTCGAAGAGTTGATCTTCCAACGTTCCGTTCAGGACCCGTTCTGCATGAACTGGGCCCCGGCTCTCCGAAGAAAGCAACCGCTGGGTGTGGCATGCGCCAAGGTGGGAAAGCACACAAGAGAAAGAGAAAGAGAAAGAGGGAAGGATGGAGACGAGGCATCACACATCCCGTGCAACAAAAAAGCAGATGGTATCATCATTGCTCTAGAGCTCTGCCTTTTTTGTCTGTCTCGTCGTAAAACGCATGACAGAAAAGGGGGCTCGAAATCATGCCGTTGCCGTACGCCTCGCTAGATGCCGCCTAGAAAAATTTAAAAGTCAAACAAACCCCGTATTCCAGCCATACCTGTCAAGACTTTCTTCGCGCAAGCCGAAAGGCTCCTCAGTTCAGGATGTGCTGGTAGAGGGGCGAAATGGATTCGCCATAATGGTTGCGGCGAATGGCCTCGGCGAGGAGGAAAGACAGGTCGAGGACGACGAGCTTGCTGATGTTCTTGACACGTTCCTCCTGGATAGGGAAGCTGTTGGTCACAACTATCGTGTCGATGCACTCGCATGCCTGCATCTGCTCGAGGCAGTCACCGCCAAAGACACCATGGGTGGCGATGCAGTACACCTTCTTGGCGTGGCCCTTCTTGACGACCGTCTCGGCGGCAGCGATCCACGAGCCGGGCTTGTCGATCATGTCATCAACGATGAAGACGGTGCGGTTCCTAACGTCGCCGACAAGTGTGATCATGTGCTCGACCTTGGGGTCCTTGAGAGTGTCTTCCTCCTCGTCCGATTCGGCCTCGGCGTCACCGGAACCGCCCAGCGCATGAGGCGCGGGCTCGGCGTGGTTGGGAGGATGGGCGAAGAAGGACGAGGCATGCGACATGGTCATGGGATCGGGCTCCTCGCGGGAGCTGCCACCAGCGGTCGACGTTGCGGGCGACGGATAGTCGTCATCAACAATATGACCCTGGACGAGGCGACCCTGCGTCACTTCATATGCTGGGCCGTCATCGTACTGCGCATCGCTCTCGTCTTCGTCCTGCTGCTGACCAGACGAGTTCTTCGTCGGCGTGGTGGGACGAACCACGCGGTTGACGTCGGCGGTGCGGAGCGGCGGGCCGTTCGAGCGCTGCGGGGAGCCCTGTGTATTTGCGCGGACTCGGTTTCGTCTGACGTTTTGAGGTTCGGACGCAGCTGGCTCCTCGAGAACCTCAGTCTTGGCCTCGGCAGGTTTACTTGTCGCAGAAGACTCGAGCACAGGCTCGCGGTTGAAGCTGTGGAGGTGACCCATGATGACGCTAGCCGACATGTTGGCGCCCCGGTGCTTCTTCTTCTCGGTCGTGACCATGCCGAAGTTGAGTTTCAAGGCGTCAGCGAGTGATGTCACTCGCTTCGTTCCACCGGCGTTCTTCGACACGACAACAGCCTCCTTCCAATTGGCGACGTTGTGACGGATCCAGCGAGCAATGAGGGGCTCGGCATGCAGATTGTCGACGGGGCACTTGAAGAAGCCCTGCATCTGGGTTGCGTGCAGATCGACGGTGATGACATGCTTGATACCAGCCATGGTCAACAAATTGGCGAGCATGCGCGCTGTGATGGCACCGCGGTGGGACTTCTTCTTCGACTGGCGACTGTAAGGGAAGTAGGGAAGAACAGCTAGCGCGGGAGGGTCAATGGTCTGGATCGCCAACGAGTCAGAACCGGGTCAAGGAGGGAGAGCCTACCTGTGACCTTGTTTGCCGAGCCGCCCTTGCATGCAGAGATCATGATGAGCAGCTCCATGATCGTATCGTTGACCTTGGGACTGCCAGACTGAACGATAAAGACGTCCTTCTCTCGCACGCTGGTGAGGATGCGTACGCTGGTCTCGCCCTTGGTGGATGGTTAGTCTCAAGCGAGAAGCCGTGACAACTCGGAAAAGCAGACTCGAACGGACAAGCGTTCGAGGGGATTTCCCTGGCGCAGCAGAGGCAGGGCAGGACAGGGCAGTCAAGTGAAGGCCCAGCCCAGGCCATCCCAAGCCAGTCCGCTCACGCTCCGGCTCAACTTTGACTCAGGAACAGCCAGCTTACATTGGAAAATTGGGTGAGCTCCGCCTCGGCGGGCTGCATGCCCAGGTTCTCGCAAATCTGACCTGTGAGCGCTGGGCAAGAGCTGCCCGCGAAGATCAACGTGCTACGCATCGTAAATTGAGTTCGGGCGTGGTGGTGATGGCGGAGGGCCTGGAGGAGGTTGAAGGAGGGGAGCTCCGAAGCGAGGAGGGACGAAAACAAATTTTGAGAGCTGTGACGAGAAGAGAAGAGAAGGAAGGGTCCGGGTGGGGAGGCCGTGTCCGGGAAGGAGCGAGCAGACTGTGCTATTGCTTCTGACGTCAAAAGGAGGGTGTCGAAATCTATGCGCACTGTGGTACTTATGGGTGCTTCCTCCCGGCTTCATGCATGGTGTGTTCCTCTTTAGATGCATATTGCTATAGAGTGAATTAGACTCAATCTGCATCAAGACACCATCCAGACCATGATCTCTGCCTCTCATCATGAGAATGAGTCCTGCATAGCTCTCCATGCTTGGAGCTTCTACTTTTCTCATAGATCCCATGGATAAATTCTGATGATTATTCACCATCACATCTCCTTGTCATCAGCCTCGTGAGATGGGCATCCCCCATCTCTTCACCCATCTCGGGCCATATGGTGTTGACACTCTTCTCACCGGTATCAAGATCGTCATTGATGGTCCCTCCTTTGCCTATCACATCCACAGTCTGTGCTCAAGCAACAGAGCTGGCCAGGTTTCCCACAAGCTTCTGTGCGATGCCGCCATAAGCTGGCTGGATGCCCTGTCCAAGGGCTCCAAAGTGTAAGCCCCTTTTGTATCCTAATTCTTCGCCCTTCGCAACGCATACACGCTTCGTGGTCCTGTGCTGACTCGTTCAGAACGGCCATCTACTTTGACGGCTACCTTCCCGCCTCCAAATACCCCGTGCGCCTTGATCGCCTTCTCAAGTCTTCAACCCGCCTACAGAACCTCCACAGCAGCAACCCCAAAACCTGCCCCTCTCACCTGCTGTCCGAGTCAAACGAGCTCATCCCGGCACCCTTTCCCACAACCTACGCGCGTCGCGAACCGCCTCACCACCCTCCTTTCCTCGTTCCCGCCATCCTCGAACGCTTGCGCCTCTCGGAGAAGTACGCACCCCTCATCCGCCTCGTCCCGGGCGAAGCAGACGCTTACTGCGCCGACCATGCCCTCCACCACGGCGGCTGCGTCTTGACCTCCGACTCGGACCTCCTCGTCCACGACCTCGGTCCCCGCGGCGCCGTCATCCTCTTCCGCGACCTGCGAACCGGCACCCTCGACGGCCACCGCGGTCTCATCGCCGCCCGCTACAGCCCCGCCTCCATCGCCGAACGCCTGCGCCTACCCCCCACCTCGGCAGGCATCCAGCGCTTCGCCCACGAGCTGAGCCGGGACCCTTACAAGTCCCTGCCCCAGCTCCTCCAGGCCGCGCAGCAGCGGGCCGCGGCCGAGGGTGACGACGCGGCCGAGGACGCCGCCTACGAGACCTTCCTGCGGCCGTACCGCGCCCACGACGCGCAGACGACCGCCGCCGCCGAGGCCTTTGCGGCCCTCGCCACGCCTCTCGACCCTCGCGTCTCGGAGCTCGTCCTACAGTCGCCCGCACTGCGCGCCCGCCTCGGCATCCCCGAAGAAGAGGGGGAGGGCCAGGAGGGCCACCGCGCGCCGGACAGCGAGCCGCTGCTCTTCCTGCCCCTCCTCATGGACTGTCCCGCGCGCCCCAGCGCCTGGGAGGCGAGCCTCGACGTGCGACGCCTGGGCTACGCCCTGCTGCGCGCGGCGCATCCCTTCGCCGCGGCCTCGATCAGGGAGTACCGCCGCGTGCAATCGGCCTCGAACGCCGGCAAGCAGATCCTGCCGTGTGACGACCCGCAGTCCCGCGCCGAGGCGCTGCTCAGCCAGCTGCAGCACGCGGCGCGCTTTGCAGAAGAAGCAGACGGAGCCCGGGCGGCCAGGGGGGCGGGGCTGCTGGCGCTGACGCTGCGGCTGGACGGGGCGGCCGCGGCCGAGGCGGGGCGCGACGCGCAGGCCGTGCCGGCGGTCAGGGAGTTCTTCGCGGCGCGGGCCGAGGGGGAGACGTTGTGGTCGACGATCCATCTCGCGGCGCAGGTGCAGGCTTGCTATTACTCCCTGCGGATCCTGTCCCAGATCCTGTCGCTGCTGGACGCTGTGGCGGGCGACGGGACGGTTTCCGGGGCTGTGCTCGCCGGGTTGAAAAAAGAGCTCGCGAAGCTGCCGGCGTTGGAAGAGTACCCCGCTGTGAAAGACGTCACGGCTCTGCTGGATGAGATGCGCGCGAGGGGCCAGGTGAAGTCCTTGGCGGAGTTTGTGGGCGTCGAGCAGAGGGCCCTCGTGCCCCTGACCAAGGGTGAGGAGAAGGAGAGGAAGAAGGAAAAGAAGAGAAAGGCAGACGCTGGAGCTGTCCCGGTTGCAAAGAGGGTCTCTTCCAATCCGTTCGATATCCTAGACGAGGAATGTTGAGTAAAAAATGACTGGACAGAGATTGAGTAGAGAGAAGGCGACACGATAGACATGATACCACGTAGAGTCGAAATTCAATTCGTTATTGGATCCTCATCGAAGCCTTTGTTCGTAGCAACTTTGCTTCCAGTGTTCATGTTGGTTGTTCTCTATTCCCAGTCCGTAATCCGCACCAGGCCGAGTCCGCGGCCAAGTCCATCCGTCAAACTCCAGGGTATACCATCTTATCCATATTATCCCATGCCTGACCATGTCCCCAAAACCTGTTCCTTCTACCAGGACCGTTGAACAAAGGGAATTCTCGCAGGCATTCTCTCTTACACATCGCCTGCCAGCCGGCGGTCATCGAGGGGAGCCAATGACCTCGTTCTCGTGCGTCCCCTCGTGTAGGCTTCCTTGCCTCCAGCGCGCTCTTTCGCCTTGGTCTCCTTCCGCAGCCGCACCGCAGCCCGGATGTCTACCTTCTCCTCCTTTTCCTCCACAATCGGCGAGCCGATGACTTTCGGCACGCTCTCCTCCTGGTGTATGGCCCCCAGGGCGGAAATCCTCTTCATCCCTCGTCGTCCCGGCGCCAGGTCTTCTCGTGGCAGACTCGCCTGCTGCTCGTCTGGCATCTCTGGCATCTCGTCATGGACGGCGTTGTCTGTGGTGTATTCCTGCTCGTGGTTGTTCGCACCAAGCGTCAGTCTCCGACCGCTGCTGATGTCAGTCAGAACCGCGAGCGGCGCACTGCGGGAGTGGCGCATTGGGTGCACGGCCTGCGGAACGGGCGGCGCCGCGGGGATGCTGTCGAGTAGACCAGGGAGCTGGAGTCCGTCACCTCCGTACCCCGTATTTCGGAACAGAAGGCCTTGTTCGCGCTCGCCCATGTCTTCCTTCCGGCTGATGAATGAATCGGCATCGACGTCATCGTCCGAAGAAATTTGGTCGTCAATGTTAAAGTTGGCGTCGACCCGCACTGGCGATATGATCGGCGTGTGCGCCGTACTGTTGAGGGCCGTGTGGTACGAGCTCACGTCGTCAGGATTGCTGCCACGAGACACGACACTGCGGCTCACGTTCTTCGGTGATATGACGGGCAGGTCAATAGACGTGTTCGGCGTGTGACGAGACATTGGTCTCGTGTAGCGTATCGAGCTTGTGCTGGATATTGTGGGCGTGTTTGACGATACCGACCATTGGTTGAGGCTACTGGTTCGGACTGGGATGTGCTCATAAATTTCGTCGAGCCTGATGCGTCCATGAAGAGGGCCAAGGCTTTTCGCTCGCTGGTAAGCGCCCTCAATGCTTTTCCTCGGGGGGCGGACGGTTTGCTTGGATTCTGTGGCATGTCAACTTTATGGTCAGGAACAACATTCTGGGAACTACTGACGAGGCAGGGACACCGGGGGGTTGGCGGCGGTCGGAAGCTCATAATGATCAACCCAGTCGTCGCTTTCATCTGGTGAATCGTATCCGTCATCGGTCTTGTGGTTTTGGGACTTGTTCAACCGCAGCGGTGAGACAAAGAGCGAGGCATCACTGGGCCTGGGATATTCGTCTCGATCCCCTGCATAGTCGACATGTCGAAACACGTCCTCATGGGTAGAATAGCGCATGTCGTCCATCCTGCGACGGTGCGTCTTTCTGCTCGTCTTCGAGCTGCCCGGCAGAGAATAATTCGTCTTCGCCAGCATGACCGAGTCTCGTGCAAATGGCGCAGACAGAGCTGGTGGTTCAGGCTGCATTTGCGGCAGCAGATGAGAATAAATGCCCAGGCCGCTGCTTGTCGACGAGCGGAAACTCGAACGCTGTTCCTTGCTCACAAGCTGGTTGGCACTTCGCGTTGGTTTGTGCATGCTCTTGGGTCTTGGTGCCGTTTCTGTATAGGGCGATGTCGGAGCAGTGGGGATGTATGAGCTTAGAGACTGCCGCCTATCCACACGGTTGGGCTGTGACATGTGGAGGCTGAGTCTTGAAGTGGAGAGCTCGTTTGTACTTGAATACTCTGACGAGGAAGGAAAGGGGGGATTCTGGAGGAGCGGATTGACCAAGTCATGGTGAGATGAGCGTCTAGTGGTGCTTCGAGGGTAATTGTACGGCGCTTGTGGCTGGAAAGGTCGTCCATTGTCACCAAAGGTGCTCGTCCAGATGGGTGGAGGGTAGCTGTCTGGTGGCTCGCACGGATTGGTTCCTGTCAGCGCATAAAAGGCTTGGGCCTGTGGTGAGGTCAAATCGAAGCCGTTCTCGCCGAGGTTTCTGTCGGCAACATCCTCGCCGTAGTCTCTTGCTCCTTCGGCCTTGATCCTTGTCTGGAAATGCAGAGGCACATACTGCGACTGCGCATCTATCAGGTCAACATAGCCCTTGCCCGTGTTCATGGTGAGCAGAGAATTGGTTCGAGCACGAGAGAAGGGGGCGGATGGCGCTTGCAGATTATTGTGCAGGGACGTGCCAGACAGGCGTTTCGAGCTGATCAGGGGCGTCTTGTTTGAATAAGTAGAGTCCGTTCTGGGTTTCCGGAAAGATACAGGGGGCGCCTTCATGAGAGAGTTTCTTCGTCTTTGAGGACTTGGCTTTGCCAGGCTTGCTGGTGCGTTGGGGGCAGTTCTTGGCCTCTCAAAGTCAATATCTCGAAAGCGTGGCACAAATGGTGCGGGTGCGCCACCATCCGAATCACTATCCGGGGATGGCAAGCGTTGCTGGGGCTGCTGGCGAGGCCGTTGCAGGCGCTCGCGGGATGCTGCTGCTGCTCCATTTCTGATCATTGGATACGTCCCTGTTCATCATCCAGTCAACATGAGAACGAGACATGTTGGAAAGAGTACTATACCTCGAAGAGGCGGTGACGACGGCGTCGTAGCATGGTAGGCTTGGCCTTGAAGGCTGGAAGATGGTCGTGACGATCGTTCGAACGATTTTCGCGAAGAAAGAAAGCTGAGAAGACCCATGATGACGAAGGTCTACCGGCCTATGCGGCCGTGGCGACGAAGTCAAAGCAACAAACGAACAGTACTCGGGTACGCTGCTGGTGTTTTGTCTATTTGTATTTGTTGAGTTGGCGACCTTGCTGCGCCGACACAGCAGCCAGCGCAATGGGGTTTCGAGCAGTGTCTGGATGTTGCAGGAGACAACGGGTCCAAAAAAGGTGGGAGGGGAAGGGGTCTTCAGCAACCAGGAGAGACAGTAGTTCAGACGGGAGGGGTGGGTATGAATCGCATATGGGGTAGAGTACGAGGGGCTAGGGCGACCCGGTGCCGTGTCTCTGTAGGAAGTAGACTCCGGCTCTTGCGTTGTACAGATCGGTACAGTAGCGATCCTGGTGAGGACTAGTACAGGTGTGGTTTAAGGCTGAGGAGGTCGTCATGGACTCGAAGGCAAAAGTCCCGTGGTACGGGGGTTGATTTCCACAACGAAAAGAAGAATCGTTCATCGAACCAGAGAGAGGCAGCAAATCGTCACAAGCCATGCAAGTCAAGGCGTATCAAATGCGTACGGGAGAGGGTTGGCATGCGGTCATGAAGGGGTAGGAGGGAACTGTGCGGCACAAGCAATGCATCCCGTTCCTGAGAAAGAAAGGATTGACTGCGCAGTCATGACAGGCTCCACGGGAGGAAATCTGCAAGCCGGGTTCTTTGTCCGCCGACCGACGCTCGCCTGCCGTTTGCAGGAAAGTGGGCGAGGCGACGACCAAGATAACCTTGCAAGGTGAAATGCTTCTGGCTGGCACAAGCATTCGAATTGAACGTGCGCTCTCGCACATCATCGACCAATACGGAGCAAGCCAGACATAGGGGAGCGGGCTAGAGCGTGTGTGCGGACCCCGAGTCGAGCTTCTCCACGGTAAGCGACGTCTGGTTCCTGTTTCTTTCTTGGTGCTCAGGCAGGAACAGACCTCCACTGCCACGTTTCGACGACAGGTAGTGGTGGGAGACCAGGCATGTTGAGGGGGGGCAGGTGGACGGCAGACGATTCAGGACCAGAGGCTAAACAGAGACCATGCCGTGTAAGGCGGCCGTGCGAGGGTGGAGGGCGGGACAAAGAAACCAGACATACTTCGTATGCTACCTCAGCTGGCCGATGGCTGGGCTGTCCCGCCTTCTGCTCGTTCTGGGCCAAACGTACGCAAGTCGTCATATTGGATGTCGTCCCTGCGTCTCTCCATGCGTTGGTCTCTGCGCATATTGGAAAATTAGGGCAATCGGCTATCGGCCGATGGTCGACAGGGCGTTGGAATCGACCAAGGCCACTCCATAGTCCCATAGTGCTGTAAAGAAACCGCAGTCCAGGATTGTCCCTGTTGAGCGATGCAAAGAAGCAAGTCAGTGCGACAGGTGGCGGATGCGTCGAGCCAGTCAGATGCTTGAGACGGCACAAACATGATCCAGGAGGCTTGGAGAGATCGGAGCAGAGCGAGCAGGCCGAAAAACGACCAGGGGACTACCAACAGCAGCCAGAACAAGGGAGCGCGCCAGCTGAAGGGCCAAGCCCATTTGCCAGTACCAATTTCTTTTTCTTCCGGTCTCAGATGTAGCGGCTGAAGCTAGAGAGGTAGCGCGACGACGAAGACAGGAGCGGCTCCCCAATCATGTGCCGGATCCTCGTTAGTGCTTGGGACTGTTGCTTTTGCGGAGCGATGCATCCTGGGGGGTTGCTGAGCCTTGGCCTGGGCCATAAGGTGATGGGAGGGCCGCTATGGAATGGAGCTGGGCCTCGGTTGGAGTCAGACGAGACAAGCTTAGGGACCAAAAGGTACGTCGTGCTCGTGGAGAAGAGCAATGTGTTCCTGCAGTGGTGCCGACCGGCGTGTGGCGATGGTGCATGTCGGCGAGATGAAGAAGGTCGGTTACGATGCACGTTACTGCAGGGAGTTACCGTAGGCAGGTTGCGCATGTGCCGTTCGTCAGTCGATGTGTCGCGTCTGCCTGCATCTCTCTGCAGGAGACAGGCCACGGGGGCCGCTGCTGCAGAAAGGGTTGTGTCCACCAGCCACCCCACGGTGGTATTGCTTGCTTTTATTT